ATTTTGTTTTATTTTTATGGTTTGACAAGAAAAATAATCACTAGCCCGATCAACATAATCATTATGAATGTTAACTACTAATGATTCTTTTGCTCTGATTTTGTCTCCTTTCTTGTGTGTTCTTTCCGGTGCTCGGAGATTGATGGTCGTAATTTCGCATTTGTGTTTGATTTAATTTCTACTAGAAAAATTCAAATTTCAGCTCTCATTTTATTTTTCTTCTTAAAGAAAATAATCACCGAAGATAGTGTTTACATCATAAATTGTAAAAATTTAAGATCATGCCAAGTGTTAAAAATTTTTAAATGGATGGAGGTAATTTAATTATGTCAAATATGCAGTTTTGGACCTCATGACAGATCAGCTGCTACATAGGAAAAAAAAAAGGACAAAAAATAAGATTTTATCTTTTAAATATCTTTTTTGAATCAAATTGGATCTGTTTTAACTAAAATTTAAGAAAAGGTTTCAATAATGAGTGTGGGTTATTAAATAATGGGACAAGTGACGAAATCTGGAAGGAAATATGACCCTGTCAACTACTTAGATGTTTCACTTCTTTAAGAAACTGTCCACAATTTATGTAACTGCAAAAAGTAGAGAGTTGTAGTTGGGAAAAGGGAAACAAAATAGAAATTTCAGATCATAGAAGACACAACTAGCCCCTACACAACTTGCAAATTTTTAAAATTTTAATTTCTCTACAATTTCTCACTTTTGCTTATAGATTTCAAATTTCAACACAATTCCTAGTAGATTTAAGTTGTTTTTCATCATTTCAATAGTTGAATTAGTTCATGTATTCACTTTAGTAATTTCGTTTCATGTAATGAATTTCAAGTTTTTGAATTTCTTAAAGGTACTGTTCCTTTTCTGACTATAATTAGTTTAATGTTTATAATAAGTAACGTTTCATCAAATAATTACTTATATGGCATTCACATTTTTTTTCAGTTTCAAGCATGTTAGTTTAATCATTGTTCATATTTAATTTTAGTGTTATTTACGGTTAGATCTCAAAATATGTAGTAATTTAACTTCCAAATTTGTTTGTAGATAGCAATTTGATTTGACAATAAACATGTTTAATTTAATTTGGATATATCTTTTTCTCATAAGTTTACTTTAATTTGCATGCTAGTTAACTTATTTAGGATTTGTTAACTTTGATTCACGATAATGTTTAAGTCTTTGGAGTTGTTTAAAGTAAATTTCGTAACTAATTCTACAAGAAGGCATCCCTTCTTTTTACAAATTGTTTGTAGGTATAAATTTTAATTTTAAACCAATGTTCTTCCCGCTATTCGTAAAGAGGTCAATCGTGAGAAAAGAGAGAGTCATTAAGAAAATTCTTCTTTTTTATTTTCAGCAAAGTAAATGGTACGTCCGTATCCAAATTCTACACATACGAGGCCACTATAAGATTTTTGAGGAAACAGATAGTGATTGCCTTCTTTGCATACCTAACTTCTTATTTTTCCTTTGCATTTGTTTTAATTTGATTTTTGAAAGTGTAATCCGGCTGCAAAGTTTATTGAAGAAGTAATTACCAAGTTTGAGATATATAGTTTTTGGCTATGAAAAAAACAATCAGGTGAGGAAATGCACCAATTGCAAAGTCAATACAACCCCAAGATCTAAGATATATAAACATTGTTTTATAAGTCAACTTTAAAATTGAAGTACTTTTGAAAGAATTATTCAAAATTCAAAACCCTAGTCAATCCGTCACGGTTCTGCATGTTTTGGGTTTCTTTACATAGCAATCAGA